GCATAGAAGAGTATCCTATAGGCCACCACCATCCCTACAATTACGCCAAGGTTGGTTTTCACGCTGACATCCCCAAAACCCAGTTTCTCGGCGACGGCGCTTCCGGAGATCCGGCCTTGCCAGTGCTCGATGTGACTGTACTCGCTCTTCTGCCACAACTCTATCGGGTACTTGAACGCGGAGATGTAATGGAACCAGACCCAGTAATCCGGAATATAATCCGTAGGAATGAAGAAACCAGAGAAGAGGAACATGAAGGCGGTGACGGCAGTGATGATGGTGTTGCCAGCGACGAAGTCGGGCACCAGACTGCTCAAGAATGTCACGTAGGTGTTGCCAAGGGCGATGGTCAGGAACATGGTGACTGTGAAAAGGCAAACGGCGGAAGCATCATGAACGAGACCGACCAAGAAGTAGGAAGTCAGGGTAAACAGGACGGACTGGACGAAGAAGAAGGGGAGGAAAACGAGACCGTTGGCAACGACGTAGGAAGAGGTGCGATAAGATCCTCGGCTCGTCTCCCGCATGAAGATGTTCCTTTCCATTAAGAAAATGGGCACACCGTTAATGGCGCTGAACAGCGGGAGGGCGCAAGCGAAGGCAAAGAAGGAGTTCCTGTCGAAGGTACCCCGCTCATCGTTGCCCACGCCGTAGAAAAGCGAGCCCAGAATCATTCCCGTGACGAGCATCAGGCCTAGCCCAGACAAAAACGACTCCGGCGTTCGAACTATGTTTATGAGGTTGCGGTGGCAGAGAGTCGACGTCTCCGTGAATGGACCCGTGGCGAAGTCTGCAGCCTCTGCCAGCTGTCCGATATTGCTCAATCCAGACAAGGAAGGCCGCAGCTTGGATTGGGATCTGGTAGAGTGGAACTCGGCAAGGGAATCGACACCGTGCGGCGAGTCCTGCAGCTCCTCGATCACGTCCAGAGCGAACTCCATCACATTGACGTGGTCGGGAACCCGTCTGCCGTAGTCGGTCAGAAAGGTCGACAGGTCAGGATAAGTACCGCTGTACACCAAGGAGCCACGTGACAAGATCATGAACTTGTGGATAAGCTCCAGGATGCGAAAGCTAGGCTGGTGAATGGTCATCACGATGGTGCGCCGTCGATTGGTCGCAATCTGTACAAGTTCTGGACCACGTTCAGCGAGGAGGTGCTGTCCAGTCCAGACGTCGGCTCGTCCAGGAACAGAACGGCGGGGTCATGGATCAGATCCGCACCGATGGAGACGCGCCTCCTCTCTCCCCCTGATACCCCTCGGACATGCTCGTTGCCTATCCGTGTGTCCGCACATTCGCGAAGACCCAACATCGCGATAAGCATGTCTACGCGCGCCGCTTTCACGTCCATCGGCATATCACCAGGAAGTCGGAGACGAGCGCTGAACATCAGCGTCTCTTTCACTGTGAGGTGCGGAAACAGGTTATCATCTTGCATAACGTACCCAGAAAGCTTGCGGAACTGCTTGCTGTCCATGAGTGTTCCATTGGTCATAATGATACCCTCTAGACTTTTGGCCGTGATCCGACCAGCAAGCGCGTCCAGGAGAGTGGATTTCCCCGCTCCCGATGGACCCACAATGGCCAAGATCTCCCCAGGGCGAGCCTCTCC